GGGAACTTCCAATCTATCTAAAACTTAGAATTATTCAGGCGAACGCCGTGTGTTCCGTCATGCAGCGGCCGAACATCGCCGTTCGGCTTTTGCAACGCACCCATAGCACTAACTAAGAGTTTGCCGGCGCCAAATTCTTCCGCGATAGCGGCTTCCGTACTAGGATACATCCTACCGAGACTCTCCTCTTTGCGAAAATGCTCCTCGAGTTGATCACCCGACAACTCGGCCGAAGAATAATTAACCACAGCTGGATTGTACTCACTTTCGTCAAGGCGCCTCTCCTTGACCCTAGCTCGGAGGGAAAACTTGAGGCACACGCCCCAAGGGATTGACATCCCCGAGCGGAACACCCTGGGCAAAACATTTCTTCGCCCTGCGTCAAGATGGCCCAATCTGGATCACCCACTCACGCAAGGACTGCGCTAACAGGTGCAAGTAAAACGGTTGTCTCTCGGAAACAGTCAAAGACAACTGAGAGTCAGGCGTCAGAGAGGCAAGCTCCTCCCGTAGTCGCTGCATGGATTCGGGTTTGAAAGGTGACGACTCGATGCGGCCGGCTGCAAGCTTGAAGGACACAGTCTTAACATCATCCAGCTCGGACAAGACGAAGTTACGAATGCACCAACCCTTCCGCATGGCACAGCTCACCCCAGCTACATTGCTCAGGTCGCCAACGTCCAGGCGAACACAAGCCCAGACCGAACTCATGAGGCTCTTTGGCATCCCTGCATGTCAACGGTTGACCAAAGGCACGGCTCGTGAAAGGATCGAAAGGCCAATCCTGCAGCTGTAGCCTGCTTTTCCAACCCTACGCTATCGGCAAGCTTAGGGGAACTGGGCTGCACAGGAGAGGCAGGTGGGGCAGAATCTAAACTAGCCGACGCATAAACCTTCTTGTCCGATTCCGAATCCGACACAACCACCAAATCCTCAGCACTTTGGAACTCACAACCCAGGGTCATCAAGTCCATCGTACCAAGAGCTGAATGGTCAACAGGATCACGGATGGTAGGTGCTGAAGGAGTGTCTGCACTGGCGAACGCTGCCGACGCTACACAGCACATCCATGTCATGTCTAGAACCAACACGGAGAAGCACCAAATCCGGGTTCTTGATGGAAGGAAAATTGATAGGAGCACAAACCGTTCCTCTACAGTACCAGGAGCTGCGAGACGGGGCCGCCGACCGAGAGAACTGGCGCCACGTGGAGGATCCCGTGGAGCTATCTCAACAGCTACAGCGTGCTGCTTACCGGAATGCCGGGCACGGGCAAGACATGGCGAGGCGATCGTTTCGCAGCTCTCGCCGCTTGGCGAAGGGGTCACCCCAAT